CGAGAGGCAACAGACGTTCCTCCTCGACGTCCAGTGTCCTGACTCACACAGGACTCTTCCAGGCTCCCTCTCCTCCACTGCGTTGGTATTTTTGTATTAACACCAACGTTAAACAGAAACCTCAGACTAATGTCCCCAGCAGAGAAAACAATTAACTAGAAGCTTTATTGCTAATCAAGTTCTTCTGCCTTTCACAGCACAGGGGCCTGGATGTGTCCTTCTATTTACCACCTGGGTCATTACTTTGCACCCTCGCCAAGGAATAAAACCTAAGACAAGACAAATGGTCATCTTTTAAGTAAAACCACAACAGGTAGCACATACTTAAATCCAAAGCAGCTGCTTTCTGGGTAGGGATGTTCACCCATTCTGGGGCCCCTCATCAACCTTTTCTAACCTTTCATGGTCAACAGCCTGGGCCACTGATCTGTGTAAGACTGAGGCACTGTCCCAGGAAGGCCTTGCAGAGGGCTGCTATGCAGGGACAGTGGGTCTGTGAAGTCTGAATGATGCTGGCAGCTGAGGTCCAGCCTATTGCATGGCACTGCCTAGTTTTTAGACAATAAAAGAATTGTGATTGAATGCCAACATGCTCATATCTATGGTGGTCTAGATGCTGCGACAAAATTATGAATGCGTCTCTCAAACAACAAAACCTAAAAAAAATAAACCAGCTCCTAGTTGGTACGAACACCCCTCACCTCTAGTTTAATCATCTTTCTACTCTCAGCACTGGTAAACCTAGAGGATCAGTTATCTACTGGCACAGGACAGTACAGGATCACAGCCTGACAGAAAACAGACCAGCCTAATGGCACACGTCATTGTTAACTCATCTCCTTTTGACAGGAGAGGTTTAACTCAAGGCAGAGCAATAGAGGCGGCTGGCCTTGGTTTCCAGGATAAACCTGGAGTAAAGACATCAGCTCCAGGTCAAAATTTCCAATTTTCTTCACAACTCCCACCAAACACATTTCTTCTGCTCTCATGTGCACAAATACAGGAGCGCACACTAGAAGGCGGCATTCGTACATCAAGCCTCTCACCTAACGGGACTCACGCAACTGCTACACTGGGCAGTGGGAAGTAGAGAAACTGGCAGCACAGGAATTGGTGATGGCACACAGTTCACACCGAGTAACTGTCAGCCTTCCTGCTGCAGGTTCATCAGCTTCTATGAGGCAGTAACCGTGAACGCGGCTGTCATTCACCTCATGGGTTTCCTGGTTCTGCTGGCAACTATTCAGCTATTGTCGCTGCTGCATCTTCACCCCCGGCTGCGGGTCATCGGGAGAACACTCACCAAAGCCTGGGATGAGGTGGTGGGCTTCCTGCTGGTCATTGTGATCCTGCTGACGGGCTACGCCATGGCTGTGAGCCTCCCTCAGTGTCTCTTTCCTGAGGGCTATGGTCTTGGGGTCACTTTGCCTCCCTTAGAAAAGATCACTATATGGAAAATCATCAGTTCATTGGCACTGAGTTTTGGAGAAAAAGTACTGGAGTAAGGAAGCTGGTTTTGGTTGCCGTTCCATCCTGAACAGTAGGACTGAAATTCACACATCTGTCTCATCTCTGAAGTGGGGATAAAATTTAGCTCACAGGAATGAAGGTCCAATTTATATGAAAATATTATGTAATTAGAAAGGAATTTTATGTATTTCTTAGGCATAGTAATTGAAATGGCCACTACAGAATTTCCTTATTCCATTCGTTCTATGTTGACTCATCGTTATCAAGCACCTCAAGACAGAAATAACTGCAATGGCCTCCACTGCTCTCCACCCCCGACCCGTCTTTCTTCCTCTTTTCAGTTTAACCTGCTGTTTGGATGGAGCATGTCCGACTACCGAACGTTTGTCAGCTCAGCAGTGACTTTTGTTGGTCTCCTGATGGGAACCTCTCATTATAAGGAGGTAAAAAAAATCCTGTTTTTCCTACAGACCACTATTTGGTTGAATATGCAGGGTTGGGCAAAAGTAGGAGTACAGGAAACAATATTTTCCACATAACTGTAAACCTATTTGGCTCATCCTGTATCTAACAAAGGGATACTGTCTGTAAATGCAGCCCCTGCTATCCCAATGAACATTGGAAAAAGGAGAGCGCCTTTGCCCTTCTGGTTTATGGTACCACCATGTATACAAGCTTTTGGGTGGCTATTTTCAGAAATCTGCCCTTTCCTAACCACATGGTCCCACCTCTCTCACTACCTGTATCCTTAATCTTACTGCCAAGGACACTGGGAGTGAGCTGTGCTCTTGTACCGGACCAGATTAACACGGAGCTGCTGCTGCCTTTGCAGCGGCCCTTTGAAGTATACAATGGAAATGACTTAAAAAAAAGGGCAGTACAATTCCAGAAGAGCTGTGACATATCTGTTAACAAATACTCATTTCTATTATTCCTCTCCAGGAAATACCAATAGAACCCCTTTCCATTCCACATAAAAAAATTAAGTAGGAAACCCAGATAAGAACTTGGGTCCAATGCACAAGCATATATTAGATTTGATTAGGGAAGGGAAAAACTGCAATTCAAATTAGTGAAACTGACAAGATTTTCATCAAGGCTTATCATTCTGATAATCTAGATTTCAAAGGTTACTAACCCAAATGGACAACATAACATAGTTTCTAAAGTGGAAAGTTGCCATCTCCCTAAAATAACTGTTTTGGGAGGACTATTTTATTGTGGTCCCAGCCCTAATCACTAGGGGATGAAGTCCTCAGCTCTGGAACACTTTCTATACTAAAGAACTAACAATCATAGTAAACTTTCATTAAATCGTATTATATAATGTGAAGGGCAAATGATGTTATACTTATTGGGAAAAATC